TGGGGACTAAACCCAGGGCCTTTACACTGAGGTACAACCCTGACCTTTGTTTTTTTTTAAATTTTGAGCCAGGGTCTCACTAAATTGGCCAGACTGGAGTAGAATTTGCGATCCTCCTGCCTCAGCCTCCCAGACTGCCGGGATTAATAGGTTTGCCCAGCTGGGAATCAGTGTTGGAGTGCTACAGTCCAGAAGTGAATTTAGGCAGTCTGGCTCAGAGTGGGCTTAACTGGTACTCAATGCTCCCTCTCAAAGCAGTTACAGGAAGAGCCAAAACAGCAGAAGGAATATGGATTAAGTCAAGGCTCCAGGAACAGGAGACGCTTAGTTCATGAGGAAGAAGGCGGCGGGGAACAGGGAGATGATGCTCTATAGGCAGGACAGGGAATGTGGTCCCTGTTGCTCCTTGGGTCCCAGACGGCCCTTGTCAGCAGCGCCCGCAAATGACAGTCTGGTCCTGGCTTTGCACAGTCAGGGTCACGGGAAGAGGAAGTGGGGGGGGCGTCTGGGAGGGGCTGGCGGAGGGGTCACCTCAGGTTGAAGCCTTGGGAGCCCAGTTCCCATGCCCCAGGGGTTGGAGCAGCTGGGCTGCCAGGACTAATAGTGCACACCCTCCTGGAATGCCAGGCTCCTGGGGAGGCTGCCCTATTTCAGCCTCATGAAGCCTAGGGTGGAGGGCAGCACAGGACAGCGGTGAGACGGAAGCCCACAAGCAGCAGCTTGGAACAATGAATACGGATGGTGAGAAGGATGCCCGACACTGTTGCTAGCCTATGACGTGTCAGGAAGCTCGCTTCCCATCTACCTGAACATGATTGTACCTAATCCATAGGTGGGACCAGCTGAACCATTTCATAAAGGTCAAAGGTTACAAGAAAGGATCTTTGCCGCCAAGTACATGACATTTGGCCCCGGATCTCACCTCTAAGCCACACTGCTGCGAACCAGTGGGGGAACCTGCCTGTGACTGGTGCTAACCCACAGCACCTCAGAGCGGTTGGCACTCCCTGGCCGCATTTTTAGCTGAACCCATTCTGAGCTTTTCTTGACTATGCTGAGTGCTGTTAAACGCTCCCATGAATGCAGTCACATAGGATTTGGGTGACCCTAGGGTTTATCATCCAAACATGTGCACTTGTGAGAGGGAAAAGAGACCCTAACCCTGGCAGGGCTTGGGACTGAGCCAGGTACACGAGGATAACGATGCCAGATGTAAGCCAGGGTCCTTTGAGGCTGGGCACTCTCATGTCCAGTTGTGCTGCAACCCCAATGAACAGTTTTCTATTTTCCACCACACCGGGACTCCTCTGCACCACTTCTCCTCCGTCCTTTAAATTCCTGGAGTTTCTAGACCTCGCAGGCTGTGCCTTGACTGTAAGGCAGGCATGTGGCGACTGGAGAAGCGTGGTGGGGTAGTTTCAGCAAGAAATATAAAAAGGCTTGTAGATCCTTGTACCCTGGAGCCCAGATGCTGGACCCCTGCTCTCCTGCTGGTCAGTGAGTCCCTCAGAGTGACAGGTCTGCAGCTGTCCTACTGGGAGGGGGCCTGCAGCCACCGAATCGGCCACCAGGGCAGGCAGGGCAGGGAAGCTGCTAGTGCACCGGGGAGTGTGCAGTCCACTGCAGGGATGCAAGTGCCCGTGGGCTGGCAGTGACCTCAGACCGTGGGCACGAGCTCTGCCTGGAGGGGGTGCAGCTGCAGGAGGAAATATGGACACAGCACTTAAGGCCTGCTTTTGATTCACTTCTTTCACATGAATCTGCCTTCTTAAGAATCACAGGCCAAGAGAAGAGTCTGCTGTTCTTTTGAAAGCGGGAAATCAGTCTCCAATCCAACTTCCACATCAATGCAGGTAAAGTAAAATACTAACAGGAAAGCAACGGGCCCCCACCCCTTCTCGGAAGGCCCCGTTTTGGGCATTTATTCGTTGCTACTGCAAGGCTTGCGGGCCAGGGCTTCTCCCCCAGGCCCTCACCTGAGGCCGCGGTGAGCTTTTGCGAGAAGCTTGTGCCAACGACAGCTCTGGATCAACAGGCAAGGTATTTCTCTAGACCAGGCACGTGCTCAGTACAAGAGTTAGGCACAGACTTACCTTCTCGGGGCTGCTCTGCAACCCACTACAGCCACCGCTATTATTATTACCATTACTTTGGTTTCTTAAAATTGGTACATGTCTGCGATGCACAGTAACTACAGTCATCTTCACCAGTTTTACTTCCTCGCCCTTCCTGGAGCTCCCCTTCTCCCCCTCCCAGGTCCTCTTCCCTTCTCCATAGATACCTTTCTGCTTCCTGTCATTTCCCTTTTATTTTGCTCTTTAAATTATTTATATTTGGGGGTTGTGCTATTTAACCTTCTGTGTCTGATTTATTTCACTGAACAGTATGATCTCAATGCATGCCTTTTCCTACACATGACTCAAATTTACCCTTCTTTATGGCACAGTCGTACTCCATTGTATGTAAATACATATCCTTCACCCATCTGTCTGCTGATGTGGATCTAGGCTGCTTCCAACATTTAGCTATGGAGAGTTGCGCTGCTATACATGGGTGTGCACTACTGTTACTGAGATGATACTTGAGAAGAAGAAAAGGGAAAGGACTTATGCAGTACCATGGAGCAAGAGTGGGAGAGATCAGGGACTTGAAGTTTTCACAACCACTCGTGCTGGGAGCTCCTGGTGGGAGCCAGCACCGGCACATCCTGGAGACCCGGGGGTGGCCCTGGCTCAGGTCACCCTGACGGTGACCATGGTGATGCAGATGTGGCCGAAGAATGCTGATCCTCTGCCCTGAGCACTGCTGATGCTCCGAGCATGGAGCCAAGCACCACGTGGGTGTCGCTGTCTGCCCTGAGAGCTGCCGTCCTGGCAGCGGCAGTGCCCCATCTGCCCACATCTTACAGAGAAGGGGTATCCACCAGGGGCGGCCCAGAGAGACGGAGACTGACGGCCCTGATTACTGATGCAGCCAGGTGCTGCCTGGGCGGGCGGGGAGACCGGGTCCACGCCGACCTCAGGCTTCATCAATCCCTGTCCCCTGACCCTCAGGAGCTTCAGCTAAACGCAGGACACACCAGCCGTTCTCTTTGGGCTTTCTCTTCCAAGGTACCATAACTATCTGTGTTCCTGTTCTATGTCTACCACCAGATGAAAAATTCCTCAGCAGGAGGAGCCACACCTTACTCGTCTTACTGACCATGCTAACTAGGCCATACAGGTGAGGCCTGCCGAATGTTTAATTTGTAAAATCTGGCTTCTCTGAGGGCAGTGATCAGCTCAGTGTGGCTGGGGAAGGAGGGGGTGGCGAAGACACAGCAGGTAAAGAAAGGCTGGTGTCCGGCTGTGCAGGGCTTTGGGCAGGAAGCTGGGAGTTGAACGCTTTTGCAAACACAGTGGGAGGATGAGGCTGTGAAGACACATTGCTCTGAACACACTTAACCCTTCATTCTTGCCACTTTCTGCAACAGCTCTGGAGTCCTCTTTCCTGAGTGTCTTTACCAGGTGTGATGAAAAAATACAGTGACTGCTGCTGCCCAGCGCCATCCAGCAGGCATAAAAACATGACGCTGTGTCCTTATCCAACTTAGTCACTGGATCTTGCACCATGCGCTTTCTGGCTCTTCCACAAAGTCACAGTTACCTTGAAAGGGAAACACTTTGAATCCATTCAGGACATCGAGGCACCAGGACAGCGCAGGTTTAGACCCTCAGGAAAGGGGACTCCAGAGCTGCTGCAGAAGTGGCAAGGACGGTGGGATGAGTGTATGAAGAGAGGCAGAGGATTCTGGGGGAGATTCATGGTGATGTGTCTTTTGGTATAATAAAGGTTTTTAATTTAAACATTCTCCGTATGTTGTGATCCCTCCTGGTACCATGACCAGAGCAGTGCTTATGCCGATCTGAACTTCAGCAGCTAGGCCGGCTCTTCATTAGCAAGGCAAAGCTTCCTTGGGCTGCCGGAAGTGATGTCACAGATGCTGGAGGTGGTGCTGCTCTGAGCCGGGGTGTGAGAAGCCCTGCATAGCCCAGTGCACCCAGCACTCCTGAGAGCCCATCCGGTAAGAGGCGTCTGTGGTCTGCATTTCCAACAGCTCTGTGTGCTCCGGCGCGTTCTGCCATCACCTGAGGCTCTCACTCTCACCAAAGCTACATGGGCCTCATGGCAAACACCACGTAAATGCCACTGCTGCCTTGCTTCGGGACTGCTGGGGACCCCCCTCAGCACCATCTATGCTGCACCCCTTCTATACTTTGGGTTTCTCACCGATGAGAAACCACGTACTGTTTAACCTTCTGTGTCTGATTTATTTCACTCAGCTCAAAGAGCTAGATACAAAAATAGAAACTGAATCTGCTGGAAGGGATAGCAGGTAAAACCCCTCCCACAAGCAAAGGCAAGGACTCAGTGAATGGAACCCCAGTTGTTCAAGAAATAACACCAAGAGTCAACGAATGGGACTCTCAAATTAAAAAGCTTCTGCACACTAAAAGGAAACAACCATCAGAGTGAAGAGATGATCTATAGAACAGGAAAACATTTGCCAGCTCCTCCTCAGAAAAAGGCATCTTATGAAGCTGACCTCTGCTAAAAACACCATAAGATGGAGCCCTCCTAAGACTACCCAGCCCAAAGCCTACGGGAGAAAGTCAAGAGAGCTGGTTCTAGTTCTCTCCCAGCCAGCTCCTTCCTGTCACCCAGGGAGCTGCTTGCACTTCCTTTGTGTTTTGTATTGTTTTTTGTTTGTTTGTTTGTTTGTTTGTGTTTGAGATAGGATCTTGCTAGGTGATTCAGGCTGGTCCTGAACTCGAGGTGATCCTCCTGCCTCAGCCTCACCAGTGCTGGGATGAGACACGTGCACCAACACACCTGCTGTTTTGCACTCCTGAGTTTCTAATTCCCCCTGTGAGCTTCAGTCCCCCACAAATCAGGCACAGGAGAAATGGAACCTACCCGTCACTCTAGGTGGGGGGGCAGAGTCAGACACAGCAGCTTACCTGCGACAGCTGGGCGCTGGCTTATTTATTTCTGACGCTGAGAGAGGTCACGCTGGCTTCCTAGACGAAAGCAGCTTGGCGCTCCGGACGCACACACTGCTTGGCTGCACACCTCCTTGGCTCCCTGCTGCAAGGCAAGCGAAGTCACATGATTAGCACATGGGCTCCACACCTCCGAGGACACAAGGACATCTGCCCACCAGAGGCACAGCGCTGCAGCAGAGCCCCAGGCACCCCTTTGGATAAGGAAAGTGGAACTGTGGTCAGAAGAAGGGATATCTATGGATCAGAACTGATCTGAGGCTGACTTTGGGAAGACCTGCTCCGTGCGAGATCATGGCCTTCCAGCAAAGCCCACGTTTCTGAGCAGGTGCTCCAGTCCCTCTGCCAACGAGTCTGTACTGTACCCGCCTGCCCCAAAAGGGGCTCACTGTGGCTTCGTGTCCTGTCACCCTGCTCTGCAGCTCCGACCTCCACCCTTCTCTACCATTCTCCCGGCTAACAAGGGTCACTTCCCTCACAAAGCCGCTCCGATACCTCTGGACACTGAGGGCCCCAGGCTGTCACAGCCACCTGTGGACTCATTTCCTCCTGCCTGGCCTGTGGACTTTTGCAAACCTGATGTCTTCTCCCTGGGTGGACCTCTTCGGGACTGCCCACTGCCTCCAGGAGAAGATCCACATGCATGCGGCCTTCCCAGCTGTCCCCCAGGGCTCCTTGCATTGCAGCCATGCCGAGGTTGCATAATGAGTTTACCCCCAGGAGGTGACTCTTCTGCATGAACAGCTGCCAGGACTTCTCCAGTCCCAGGCCCTCCCAGGAGGTGACCGGGAGCCCAGGCACCAAGCCACCACCATGGTGACGAAGCTGAGAATGACCAACTGCTGGGGTCATGAGTTCACTTTATCACACATGCAGCCAGCCCCGCCAGCTGCAGTGGCGAAGTAGGTGACAGAGGCTCAGGTAGAACAGAGTTCCTTGGTGCTTTTCCTCCACCCTGGAGGCAGCTGGTTGCCTCTTTCCACCGATGCAGGAAGAAGCAAGGCTCACAGAGGTCACAGTTCCTGTCTGGACTTGCACTCCAGCTTTGACCCTTCTCCTGTGCCTAGAGTAGTGGATCTAACAGCCCACTGGCTGTCCCCACACGGCCCACACTTGCTGCATCAGGTACTGAGCAACAGCACCCCGTCCCTGCCCCAGAGCTCTGGTTTCTGCTCCAAGACCAGAGCTATCCCATCACTTCTGCACCTCCTCAATGGAAAGACATTGTCACTTAACAGACACGACAGACAGGGCCACATTCACTGCTCTGTACGCATCCTTAAACGGGGATCAAAACTCTCACCAGCGGGCCGGGTATTTAGCTCAGAGGTTCGGTGGCCTGCTGATGTCTGTCCAGAGGTGCATCTCAGTAGAAAGTGTTCTGTTTTGGGTTCGGGGTGGAGAACAAGGTCCAGAAGACTGAAAGTTCAGTGTTGACGACAACAACAACAACGGGAACCCAGCTCACCAGGGCCACGCGCCAGAATCTTTTCAGGCCCCTTGAGCAGGCTGATGCCAGTCGTGACCACAGAGTCGGGCACGTGCCCTGTCCTGTTCTCGTTCACACCAGAAAATCCATCATCAAACATCCGCCAGCACACCACGGGACGGTCTGCGAGAACACAGACCTGTAAGAGTGTGGACAGCTGCAGTGCTGTCCCCGGCTTGCTATTTGAATGTTACCCTGTGACCCTAGGTCTCCCCAGGCGCTGCTAAGTATCCTACAATGTACAGGCGATTCCCACACAAATGTCACTCTGCCCAAAATGATAGCAGTGCCAAGGATGAGATATCCTGGTATAAAGATATTCAGGCCCAGCGGCTCAGTCAGGTTTTTTGAACACATTATCATCCAGGCAGGAACTTGGAGCCAGGTGTGGTGGCGCACAACTGTGATCCTAGCACAAAGGAGGCTGAGGCAGGAGGATTGTCACAAGTTTGGGTCCAGCTCAGGCTACATAGTGAGTTTAAGGATACCTTGCACTGCATAGCAAGACCCTGTCTCAAAAAGTACCCCCAAAAGGAACTGCCATCTCTTGGCAGGACTCAGGGGGCCAGGACATTGCAACACAGGCTACGATGGGTGGGAGTGTTTGAGCTCTCACTCTAGCACAGCACTGGGCACACTGTGGCGCTCAGCATGTCCTCATCCTGTGTGCCACACCAGGCAGAGGAATCTGCCAAGGGCAACTTTGCCTCTTCTGGAAGACAGCACCAGGAAGGAACGATGTGAAATTCCAGCCCTGCAAACTCAGGTTAAACAAATGATCACCAGCCTGAGGACTCCCGGAAGTGGTGAGAAGAGCGATTTTATTTGGGTTGATTTCTAGCCCGAGCTAAAAAACCTTGAAAGGCAAAGTCTCTCCGCGCCCTTCTCTCTTGAGGACCCAACTGTTAAAGACATAGCTGGCAGCTTTGCTTCTGACACATTCAAAAGCACTTTTGAAAAATGATCCTCTTATTTCTGTGCCACTGGGAACTGAAAATATACTCAGTACAAATCACCCAAAGGGGAAAGAAGGGTAGGTAAGAAAATCCAGCAAGCTCAGGGAGCCTGCAGAATTCAAGGAGGCCGCACAGGAAGAGGCTGACAGGGACACCCATTATGCCGAGCCTTGAGCCCCCTCCGAGCCACACCTTTCCCCAGAGTCCCCGGGTGGCCATGGCCTCACCCAGAAGTCTACAGGGAGACCACAGCCTCACCCAGAGAGGTGGCGATTTCTGCAGGACTGGATGACGGAACAGGGACCTCCCTTTGTGTCTCCCTGAAGATCTGATACCAACCATAAACCCTCTGACTCACAAAGCCCTTTAATTAAAAGCACAAGGGCTCCGAGCTAATTCTAGATGTGGTAGAACTCAGTGGCTTCTCCGGCACCAGAACTGCAGCAGTATAATGAGGATAATTTTCCCCTTCCTTCCTGGGCTATGGATGACAATGTGCTCAACTATAAATTAGCCGCCCTCAATGCCAGGGCGGGAAGCCACCTGAGCAAGTGCCTCTCGCCTTCACTTTGTGATAAGGGCTATGGCCCAGGGCAGTGGGGCCACCCCCACCTGGCAGCAAGCTCCCCACCTTGCAGCTGGATGCAGGATTTTTGGTGTCCAACACTGAGTCTCATACCTTGCTGCAGAGAAATGTTTTATGTTCTCTCTAATGCTTAGCATGGAACTCAGAAAAAGTTGGTTAGGACCAACCTAGGATCCAGGGACACAAGAAGGAAGCAGGACAGCTTCCGAGAAGAAAATTAAAATCCAGCTCAGCCGGGCGTGGTCCCAGCATTTGGGAAGCTGAGGAAGGAGGGCTGTGCTGTCAGGAGTTCGAGGTCAGCCAGGGCTACACAGTGAGTTCAAACCCAGCCTGAACTACAGTAAGTGAGACTTTGTCTCAAAAAGCCAACAGCAAAACAAAACAAAAACAACAACCTCACTGTGTCATAGCTGGGCATGGCGCCTTTCATCCTTTAACTCTCACAGCCCGTCCTGGAAAGCAAGGCTGGGCAAATAACAAATGGATTTCTTTGATTCTAATGCATATGCCTTAAACAAACTTCTTTCATTTTTCTTTAAAATGGCAATATAAGAAGCAACAATATGTGATGCCTCGGGACTAGCTGCAAACCCTCACACTATATCGAAGCCTAAAATCCCCAACATGATGGCATCTGGCGGTGAGCCCTTTCGGGGGAACTGGGGTACAAGGATGGAGCTTCCTGCATGGGATCTGTAGTCTCCTACGAACTGAGAGAGAGGTCAGCACCTTCTTCTCTGCCCTGTGGCACATGAAGCCACCAGGAAGCGGCCCTCAGCAGACCCTGGACCTGCCAGTCTCGACCCTGGACTCCCCAGGCCCTGCTGTCCCGTGACGGCATCCTAAGTTGACTAAGACACGGGTAAAGGCAAAGCCATCTCGCCATGCTAAACTTGAACTTGCACACACTAATGATGGCCAATATTCATGCACAAAGCACATTATGAAATAACCTTTCCTTATCCAAATAGTTTCAAGAGCATCTCACTCCTTTCCCGGATACACACACTGAGGCCCGGAGTACTGTGGTGAATCTTCTGAGGTCACACCACCAGTCAGTGGCAGAGGGCTTTTGACTGGGAGGCTCGCTGTGTCCTTTCTCCCGTAACGACTGCTTTATCACTAAGCATGGCGTTGACGCAGAGGAAAACCTGGGCCAGAGACCCTGGAAGTCGCCTCCTTCTTCCACACGTCAGCAGAGCATGCTGCTGAGGGCCAGCCAGGGTCCCCGGGCTGGGGAGTGGGGTGGTGGCTTTGACTTGATCCCGGGGTCTGGGTGTAATGGCACAAAAGGACAGTCTGAGCCCCTGGTGGGCAACAGACAAGGGACAGAGACTAGAAAGAAGAATTTCCGAGGCCCCTGCTGCCAGCTCTCCCAGCTTCGCAGATCTCCTCCACCTCTGGCCCAAGCATGCTAATGGAATGCGCTCCCGGAAGACAGCGCAACAGAGCCTGGCAGCTGTGCCAAGGGGAAGCGGAGGCCAAGGAAGTGCCAGGGTGGGAGCCCGGCATCCAGAGGGGCAGTGACAGCCCAGGCCCTGCAGATAAGGCGCAAGTGAGGAGGAGGAGGAGGGAAAGGAGAAGCTCAGACAGGCGCAGGGCAGTAAGGACTGACCGGAGTAACAAGGCCTCCATTCAAGGAACTGTGCATCTTTGAGTGAGACCGGAGTGTGACTGCAACACAGGCTGAGGGAACAAATCTTTGCAAAGGACTCCACGCTCTGACAATTGGATTTTAACCTTCATTGTGTCGGGGCAGGGAGATACTGTCAGATTTGCTTTTGTATTGTATGTCTATATCATAAGTATCTGGATTTCCATATCTATATCTTTGCTGTTTTTCTATTTTTGTTTTTTGAGAGAGAGTCTTCTTATGTGGCCCAGGCTGGCCTCAAACTTGCAGACATCCTCCTGCCTCAGCCTCCTGGTGTGCATCACCATGCCCAGCTTCCCTGCTATTCAGTGGTGACCTTGTCAAGTTATTTCTGCATTCTGACTCCCAATTATTTGATCTCTAAAATGAGAAAAAAATCATGCATGCACCCCCCATCCAA